ATGGCGCCTCTTCTTCTTGCATTAACCCCAAACGGTTTTTAAGAACCCCCCAGGCAATAATGGGAAAGCAAATCATCCCAGTGCGACCCTACCTAGGAGTTGGAGCCCCTAGGATAGCAGCATTAGTAGTAACAGTAAAGCTAAGCTAAAGCTAAGCTAAAGCTAAAGCTAAAGCTAAGCTGAAGCTAAGCTAAAGCTAAGCTGAAGCTAAGCTAAAGCTAAGCTAAGGCTAAGCTAAAGCTAAGCTAAATCTAAGCTACAGCTAAGCTACAGCTGAGGTAAAGCTAAGGTAAATCTAAGCTAAAGCTAAGCTAAAGCTCAGCTAAAGCTCAGCTAAAGCGCAGCTAAAACTCAGCTAAAGCTAAAGCTAAAGCTAAAGCTCCCAGGGGACTGGGGGAACCGCTCCCAGGGGACCGGGGGAACCGCCCGGGGCGGGTTACAATGCCCGGCCCCTTTAAGCACAGAGAGTAAGAACCCTTGTAGGCAGAACCTGGGTAGGGAACCATTGTTTCGCCGGCTTTTTGACGGATTGGGACCCCGACAGTAGTTGGAAATTAATTATTCTCATGAGAAGTGCTCAACTTATCCCAGTGCGACCCTACCTAGGAGTTGGAGCCCTTGGGAAAGCAGCATTAGTAGTAACCGTAGATTTGCATGTATTGTGTTGCTATGCTATGCTATGCTATGCTATGCTGCACTATGCTATGCTACGCTATGTTATGCTGCGCTATGCTATGCTACGCTAGGCTGCGCTATGTAATGCTAGGTTATGGCATGCTATGCTATGCTGCGCTATGCTATGCTATGCTGTGCTATGCTGCGCTTTGCTATGTTAGCCTATGCTATGTTATGATATGCTGCGCTATGCTATGCTATGCTGGGCTACGCTATGATATGCTAAGTCAAGCTAAGCTAAACTAAGCTACAGCTACGCGAAGCTAAGATTAAGCTACGCTAAGCTAAGATGCGATAAGCTAAGCTAAGATGAGATAAGCAACGCGAAGCTAAGGGAACGTCACTGGGGGAACCGCGGGGCGGATGCTGGGGGAACCGCCCGGGGCGGGGAACACTGCCTGGCCCTTAAATATTACCGAGTAAGAACCCTTCTAGGCAGAGCCTAGGTAGGGAAAAATCCCGTCGTCGTCGTCCTCATCGTCGTCCTCCCTCCTCCTCCTCGAGTCTACGAAACGGAGCCCAGAACAGGGGGAGGAGGAGGAGGAGGAGGAGGAGGAGGAGGAGGAGGAGGAGGAGGAGGAGGACAGGGGAGGAGGAGGAGGAGGAGGAGGAGGAGGAGGAGGAGGAGGAGGAGGAGGAGGAGGAGGAGGAGGAGGAGGAGGAGGGAGGAGGAGGAGGAGGAGGAGGAGGAGGAGGAGGAGGAGGACGGAGGGGAAGGAGGCGGGAGGGGAAGTTGGAGGAGGAGGGACGAGTTTCTATGTCCCGCCGAGAGCTTAGGGGGGGCATCATACAAGACCCTCTGCGGTTACGTCCCCGCCCCCCCCCCCTGGGGCGCGCACGTTCCGCCGGCCATGAGTTGCGCCCCCCCCCCCCCCCCCTCTTGGACGCCTCCCTCTTGGCCGCCACCGACCTGATAACCCCCCCTCCCCCCGCTCTTGGGGCATGCGCGGGGCCTGGACGTCCGAGCGGTGGCTGAGCATCGGGGCCCGCTCGCGGGCCCCGCCAGGCCGCGGGAGGGGCTCGGTGCTGCCGCCCAGCAGGGGGCGCAGGTCTCGACGGCACGGCGCGGACAGCCCCCCCCCCACAGTCAGAGGAGGGGAAAAGGTACCCATGCCTCTACGCTTCGGCCGCTTTCCCCTTTTCGGGCCTCCTCGCAGGATCTCGTCGCCACCGCTGGATTCGCCCCTAAATTCTGGTCAGAACGCGCCCAGGAGAGGTCCAGGGAGCAGCGGTATCGGTACCTTCTTTGGTTTCCCCCCACAGACGTTCCAGGCAGTCCGCGCTATGTGCGCTGCCAGACGCTGGACGATTCCCTGAGCGACATCCAGCCACACCCAACGACCACGCCCAGCGACCCCACGCGCATGCCTCACGCACGCAAGCCTGATTCGGTCTCCAAGAGCAGCTGTACACGAATCAAAGGGGACCCAAGGCTTGGGAGGGCTTGGAGCCTTTGAATCGGGTCGAGGGCTCAGGGGTTGAATTGGCAGCTGAGCAAGATGGACCAGAGCGAAGGTAGCGGTTTTCTGAGGCAGGGGGCTCCTCATAAGGGAGCCGCCCCTCGAGCTTGGGCATTGCCAGAAGTGACCTTGAGTGACCCCAGCGTTTGCAGAGAGGCCTTGATGGCCTCCATGGTAACTCGCACGAGGCCCGAGGGGCACCAGGGGCTCCAGAAGCCAGGGCGAACTGCCGTCGGCACTCGGGCACGGGGTCGCCTCCTGGCAACCTTGGCGACGGCTGGGGAGGTGTTTGGTGGTGGCTGCGGCGGTGCATGGCGACGGCTGGGGCGGCGCCCCCCGCTCGCCCTCGAGGCTTGGCCAGCTGGGCGCGCTGCCCTGCATGGTCGAGGCAGTGCCGTCCCAGCCGTCGCCAAACACCACCCCAGCCGTCGTCAAACCAGGGCCTGAGCTAGACGGTGTTGTGGCGATCTCGTGGGCCGTTTTCGTTTTCATTGTGTCTTGCGGCATAGACGGGACGAAGAGACCACGAGGGAAAATGAAGGCAATACGACGATTGCAAACAGTGTTTCTCTCGAGCCTTGCGTCAAACACCGCCCCAGCCGTCGTCGAGTAGAGGCGGAGGCGAGGGGTTTCCCAGAAGCTGTCTCCAACACCACCAGAGCCCGGGACCTCATCTTTCTCCGCCACCTTTCGAGGCGGACCGATCCGTGAGGGTACAGTGCCATTTTTAACACATGCTCCGCGTGCGGATCATGTATAAAGATATAAGGATTTAGCATGAAGAACAACGATGAGTACATGCATAATTTTATTCATGAGTTAATCATGTGTTAAAAATCATACATGGTTTAAAAACCTATGTGTTAGAAACTGCCCTGTACCCAGAGCCGAGCAACAACGCCCGGCTCGATGAACTTGAGACGCCGTGATCTCAGGGTCTGGCGGCCCGCGGCGGCCTGCATGCGGCGGCCCTCGTCTTCAGAGTCTGCGCCTCCCAGGTGGGGTCAGAGCAGATTCGACTCGGGGGATCGACTACAGGACTGCTTTACCCCATAATTGACGTTCGCGTCGACCGTTCAACAAACATACGTCAACCATTTGTAGATCTGCGGAAGTTCTCCGCTCCCAGATGGGGTCAGAGCAGATTCGACTGGGGGATCGATTACAGCATAGAGTTACCCCAAAATTGGTTTTCACGTCTACGCTCCAACAAAAACACGTCCACCCTTTGTAGATCTGCGGAAGTTCTACGACTTGCCCGTGGGTTCGACGAGAAAAATCAATTCTGGGGCAAATCAATTTTGGAATCGATCCCCTAGTCGATAGATGGGGTCGGAGGATCGCGCCGCATCGCCGATGTGGTTCCCGATGTCCTTCGCGCCGCCGTCGCCGATGCATCGCCAGCGTCGCTGGGGCGGTGCGGCACGATCCTCTGACACTCGCTTGTCAGAGGCGGCGGCGAGCGAGGGAGGGAAACGAGAAGGAGAATACCTCCTCAGGAGGCCGCGGTGGTGGGCTTGTTTTCCACCGCCACCACCATAAGTAGGAGGGGGAGGGGGTCCTCTTCTTCCTCCTCCTCATCCTCCACCTTTTTCCCCCCCTCCAACTTCTGGTGGTGGTGGTGGAAACAGGCCCATCAGGCGGGAAGTCTCGGAAACCCTCGGGGGCCTGCCTGTCTCCGGGGAAGGCTTTGGGGCACTTCTCAGAAGGCCGGGGGACCTCCGAGCCCTTTGGGAAGGCCTCCTCCTGCTCTTTTCCCCCCCGAGCGCGCTGCCGAAGGAGCCCTCCAGTCTTGAGTCGGGCATGTCTCCCTGCAGGAGGAGTGTTCAAAAAGAGTCCAACAATAGTCTGGGGACGACTTTGGATTTCTGTACATATGTATGAATGTATATACATATGTATATATACACATATATGTATGGCTATGTTTGAAAGAGCGTGTTCTACCGCTGTTGGCGGAAAACCGGGGTGGGTCACTACCGGTTCGAACCCCTCCCCCCCCCCCCCCCTCCGGAAAACCAGGGGGGGGTCACTACCGGTTCGACCCCCCCCCCCCCCAGTTCATGATGAAAAGGGGGGGGGGTCACTACTGGTTCGAACCCCCCCCCCCTCGAGCTCGAAAACCGGGGGGGTCACTACCGGTTCGAACCCCCCTCCCCCCCTCGAAAACCGAGGGGGGGTGCGGACAGTGGTGGGGACGGTGGGATGGTGGTGGGGACAGTGGTGAGGGGACAGCGGGACAGTGGTGACAGTGGGACAGTGGTGGGGACGGTAGTGGTGGGGACAATGGTGAGGACAATGGTGGGGACAGTGGGACAGTGGTGGGGACGGTGGTGGTGGGGACAGTGGTGTGGGGACAGTGGGAACGTGGTGGAAACAATAGGACAGTGGAGGGGAAAGTGGTGGTGGGGACAGTGGTGAAGGCGGTAGCGAGGACGGCGGTGGGACAATGAGACAGCGGCACAGTGGGGACAGTGGTGGGGACAGTGGGGACAGTGGTGGGAACAGTGGGACAGCTCAGTGGTTCGAACCGGTAGTGACCCCCCTCCAGTTTTCGAGGGGGGGGGGTTCGAACCGGTAGTGACCCCCTCCAGTTTTCGGTTGGGGGGGGGGGAGGGGGGGGGGGGGGGGGATTTTCGGAAGGGGGGGGGGGGGGGGGGGCGGGGGGGGGGGGGGGAACCCGGAGGAAAAGGGCGGCAATTTTCCACAGTAAAGCGGCGGTGGATCACGCTCTCTCATATGTTTTGACAAGTTGTCATTCCTTCGATCAAGATCCGCCTGCAGGAGGACACGCCCGACCTCACCCCAGCCCCCGGCGGCCCTCGCGACGGCCCTCGCGGCGGCCCTCGGCCCTCGGCCCTCGAGGACTGGGCGGCCTCGCGGTGGGGCGGCCTGCTGGACCCCTCTGCGGCGCCGCTGCTCGCCGCCTGCGGCGGCGCGGCGCCGGCGCTGCTGGCCTCGCCGCACTTCGAGCCCGCCGCGGTCGCTCGGCCCCGCCCCCTTGGTTCGGTATTTACCAGCCTCGAAAGTATCCCTATCCTTAAAATTGACACGCCAAAAGGCGATGACAATCTTAGGGATTCGCCCTCAAAAGATAAGGGAATCCCTAAGATTGGCATCGTGATGAGGAGGTGCCCAGCATAGGGATAGGGATATGTTCCAGGCTGGTAAGGTATCGTTTGTCCGATCCCCATCCCCATCCCCATCTCCTTCGAGGCCCCCCCCAAATTAAATTGCCACCCCAGTCGGCGATACGCCCCTCGAAGCCCGAAGGGGACGGCCCGTATCCCCAGCTATAGAGGGGTAGATCGGCGGCCAGTGGGGCCCAGGCCACGCCGCTGGGGCTGGGGATCGGTGAAACGATCCTCGCGGTTCCAGGCCCAAGTCGGGCCTGTCCCTCTGCAGGAGGAATATTCCAACATAACAAAAAGTAATAAAGCAGTCTGGGTGCGATTTTCTGACTACTTTTGTACATTTTACTGCCTGTAGGGGGACATGCCCGACCTGATCTTAGGCATGCCTTCCGCGTCTGAGCGCTTCCCCCCTTCCTCCCCCCGCGCGGCCGCCCTCGTCTTCGTTCCTTCCTCGTGCGCGCCGGACAGTGAGCATGCCGGCTGCCCCCTGTTCGCCTCACGCTGGAGCGGACCGCCCCTGCCTCGCCGCCGACGAGAAAACGTTTCCAGGCATGCGGCGCCTCGAGACACGCCTCGAGGCGGAGGTGCGTCGCTGTCGTCGGCGGCTCGGGGCCCCGGCTGGGCCGCGGGGCCGCCAGGCCACGGCTCGGGAGGAAGCACTGGTCCCGGGGAGGCGGTCGAGGGACGGAGGGCCCCGAGGGCCTCGTGTCCCAAGAGCATCGGGGCGCCAGGTGTCTGGGTGCTCCCCCGGCTCGAGGTCGCGTTCCCTGGAGATCCTGGCGCCGCGAGATCGGGTGTTGCTAGAAGTGCCCCAGGGGCCAGGGTGCACCCGGGATTCTCGGGGTGGCCCAGGCGGCCTCCAGAGCACCCCTCACGAGGCCCAGAGGGCCCCAGGGGCTCCAGGATGGAGCGAACAGCTGGGGGCACCTTGGGCCAGGGGTACTTCTAGCAACGCCCGAGCAAGAGTTGTTCGCCGCGTGCGCTCTTGCCGGGCGTCGAGGGGCCCGGGCCCACGTGGCTTCGACAGAGCTGCAGAGAGGTGGGGCGCAGTAGGGATCCTGTCCTTCCGGTTGGGAATGTCCAGGGTCAGTCGCTGGACCTCGCCCGGATTCCATAGGGGGCCAGATGCGAACCCTGCCCCTACCCCCCACGATTTCTGAGGGGGACGGTGGGGTTCACTTAGCTCGGGAGCTCCCGAACGGAGTGCCCCCCCCCCCCCCCCCCAGAGATCGTGGGGGGTAGGGGCAGCGATAGTCTTCGCATGTGGCCCCCCAGTCCATCCCGGCCAGCTGCTCGAGCTGCGTCCAGCCGCGGCCTCGAGGGCCCCCCCCCCCCTTAGTTGCCCAAGGGAGGCTCAGACTCATCAAAGATTTTACGAGCCTGGAACATAGCCCTATCCCAAAGTCGGGCCTGTCCCTCTACAGGAGGAATTTTCAAACATAGTGAAACATCGTCCGGGGACGACGTTTCTAGTATGTTTGACTGTTGTTAGGGTATATGTTTGATGCGTTTCTTCAGAAGTCCGCCTGCGTGAGGACATGCCCGACCTAATCCTGTCCCTGTGATCGGCCTCGCCTCATCCCGATGCCGACCTTCAGGCTTTCATCACTTCTCGAGGGCGCCTTCCTGATGTTGTCGTCACCACTTGGAGTGCCAGTCGAGGGATGGGGATCAGCTCGAGGCGAGGTGCAGGGCACCCGTCATTCACCGCCGCCATGCCTGGCCAGGGCCATCCTGGGCCGCAGGGTGCAGCACCCGGGCCCTCCTGGCCCCGGCCAGGAGGGCCCAGCTAATTGCCCGCCGTGCCCGCAGCGGTCCTGGAGCCGTCTTCGAGCACAGCAGCCTGGGCCGAGTTCGAGGCATGGCTCCCCTCGCTCTTCTCGGGCCGGACGAAAGGGGGGGATTGGGAAAGGGGGGTTACGAAATCAGCTGCATGCAGCTGGTTTCGGCCTCACCGAGGGCCCCATTCCTCGATGCACGGGCGCCGCGAGGCGCCGGGAACATCAGCCACGTGAGCCGATTCTCGACCCCCCCTTTTGTTATCCCCCCCTTTCACCCAGACCGACAGCAGCCTGGGTCGAGTTCGAGAACGGCAGCCTGGAGGGGGGAGGAGGAGGAGAGGAGGAGGCGGAGAGGCGGAGCGGAGGCGGAGGCGGAGGAGGAGGAGGAGGAGGAGGAGGAGGAGGAGGAGGAGGGAGGAGGAGGAGGAGGAGGAGAGGAGGGAGGAGAGGAGGAGGAGGAGGAGAGGAGAGGGGAGGAGGGGAGGGGGAGGGGAGGGGGAGGGGGAGGGGGAGGGGGAGGGGGAGAGGGTGGGAGGGGGAGGGAGGGGAGTTGGGGGGAGGGGCGGAGGAGGAGGAGAGAGGGAGGAGGAGGAGGAGGAAGGGAGGCGGAGGAGGAGGAGAGCGGTCGACTTCGAGTATCGCCCCCCTCGCCCTTCGGATCGGGCAGGGCTCTCTGCCGCAGGAGGGCGTGCCCTGGCAGGTCCAGCGCGCGCGCGGCGCCCGGGCCCCACGCCTATATGGACCCCGCGGGCGCGCCGAGGAGGAGGTGCACAGGCGGCACGGCAGGCTCGCGCCGCGCTCCTCCTCCCATCCTCCCTCCTCCCTCCCTCGCTGCTCCCCTCCTCCATCCTCACTCCTCCTCCCTCCTCCTCCTCCGCCTCTCCGCCTCCTCCTTCCTTCTCCTCCTCCTCCTCCTCCTCCTCCTCCTCCTCCTCCTCCTCCTCTTCAGGGCGCGGGCGTGCGGGTGTTCGGGGCGGAACGCCGCCGATCTTTCGTCAGAGGGTTGCCGGGGGGGTTGGGGAGGGGGGTTCGTCGAGGGGGGGAGGCGGCTCGCGTGGTGGATCCTCCTCCCCCGACTCCTCCTGCGAGGGGCGTCCGAGGGTCGGGGAGGTGGGGGAGGGCGAATCCGTCGGGGGCGTTCGAGGCGTTCGGGGCGGAACGCCGCCGATCTTTCGTCAGAGGATCGGGCCGAACGAAAAGGGGGAGGGAAAGGGGGGGTTACGAAGTCTGCTGCATGCAGCTGGCTTCGGCCCCAGCGAGGGGCCCATTCCTCGATACAGGGGCGCCTGCGGCGCCGGGAGGCGCCAGGAAAATCAGCTACGTGAGCTGATTCTCAATACCCCCCCTTTGCTATCCCCCCCTTTCGTCCGGCCCGAGAGGAGGACAGGAGAAGCCTCTGACGAAGGATCGGCGCCCAGAAACTCGGGAACGAGGGCCACCCGGCCTCGCAGGGCGCATGTCGATTCCTCCGATTCGAGTCGATTCGGTGTCGAGGGTTTCCGATTCCGATTCGATTCTACTTCGGATTCCGATTTGGGCTCCGATTTCTCAATGCAGGCCTGCTAGCCTGCCGATTCCCGCCGATTCGACTTTTCCTGACTCGGCCCCGATTTCCTCCGATTATTACCTAACAGCGAAGACTGATAGGTTTCTAGTTGACTCAAAAGAGCTCACAGATCACTCCACAGGGGGGTCCGGGCAGGTGTTGGGGAGTTGCCGGGCGGCAGGGTGCCGGGCTCGTTTTTCACCAATAGTCACACACTTCGTGCTCTTCGACTTCCCAGAACTCCATTCCCATGCCACATTCTGAATACCCGGATGCAACAGTCACACACTTCGTGCTCTTCGAGATCCCAGAACGCCATTCCCGGGCCACATTTAGAATAACCGGATGCAACAGTCACACCCTTCGTGCTCTTCGAGTTCCCAGAACGCCATTCCCGGGCCACATTTAGAATAACCGGATGCAACAGTCACACACTTCGTGCTCTTCGAGTTCCCAGAACGCCATTCCTTCCGGGTCCACATTTTGAATGCCCGGAGCCACTGTAGTGCCACTGCCTGTCTTCGAGTTCCCAGAGAACCATTCTCCCGGGCCCCATTTTGAATAGCCGGACCCGGAAACTGAGGCCACTTCGTGCTCTTCGAGTTCCCAGAATCCCATTCCTCACCCTAGGTCCACAGTTTTGAAATGCCCGTAGCCAATGTAGGCAACTCCTCTTCGTGCTCTTCGACTTCGCCAGAACTCCCATTTCCTGGGCCCCATTTTCACAGGGGCAAGAGCAACGGACGAGGAGGAGGACGAGCAAGACCAGGAGGACGAGGACGAGCAGGAGCAGGACGAGGAGCAGGAGGAGCAGGAGAAGAAGAACGAGCAGGAGGAGGAGGAGGACGAGCAGGAGGAGGAGGACGACCAGGAGGAGGAGGACGACCAGGAAGAGGAGGAGGAGGAGGAGGAGGGGAGGGGGAGGAGTACCAGGAGGAGGAGGAGGAGGAGGAGGAGGAGGAGGAAGAGGAGGAGGAGGAGGAGGAGGACGAGGACGAGGAGGAGGAGGAGGAGGGGGGGGGAGAGTACCAGGAGGAGGAGAACGAGGACCACCAGGAGGAGGAGGAGGAGGAGGAGGAGGAGGAGGAGGAGGAGAGAACACCAGGAGGAGGAGGACGAGCAAGACGAGGAGGACGAGAACGAGGGCGACCAGGAAGAGGAGGAGGAGGGGGAGGAGGGGAGGGGGAGGACTACCAGGAGGAGGAGGAGGAGGAGGAAGAGGAGGAGGAGGACGAGGAGGAGGAGGAGGAGGACGAGGAGGAGGAGGGGGGGGGAGAGCACCAGGAGGAGGAGAACGAGGACCTCCAGGAGGAGGAGGAGGAGGAGGAGGAGGAGGAGGAGGAGAGAGCACCAGGAGGAGGAGGACGAGCAAGACGAGGAGGACGAGAACGAGGACGAGCAGGAGGAAGAAGAGGAGGAGGAGGAGGAGGAGGAGCAGGAGCAGGAGAAAGAGGAGGAGGAGGAGGAGGAGGCAGGCTGAGGCTGAGGCTGTGACTGCGACTGCCGTTGCCGCTGCGACTGTCATCGCGAATGCGACTACGACTGCGAGAACAGCAGAATTCTACAACTGGATTTTCATCTGAATCTTAAGGGGAATGCTTTCAGATATGCTTCTACACATAGCTGTTAGGTTGCTTTGCCGGGATAATTTTTTTTTTTATCGCTTCGCTCATTCCGCCGGCCCATACAGTCTCATGTCTGCCGTTTGCCCGAGGGCCTGGTGTCAATGCGGCGCTTTGGGGGTTCCTGGGGCCGCTTGGGGGACTCCTGGGGCGCTCGGGGGGGCATTTGGGGGGCCTCCTGGGGCCGCTTGGGGGACTCTTGGGGGCCTCCTGAGGGCCTCGTGGGGGCCTCTTGGGGCCTCTTAGGGGCCTCTTGGGGCCTCATGGGGGCTTCTTAGGGCCGAGGGCTCGAAATGTTGTTTCGTGTTCCCTCTCTGGGGCGCCCTTGGGGGCGTTCTTGGGGCCCTCTTGGACCGTCTTGGAGGCTTCTTGGGCCGTCTTCGAGCCCTCTTGGGCCATCTTGGGGCCCTCTTGGGGGCCTCTTGGGCCATCTTGGGGCGATCTTGGGGGCCTCTTGGGCCGTCTTGGGGCGTCGGGAAGCCGAAAAGGTGGAAGCTCCAAAATCTCTCAAAAACCTAAGGGAAAGCTATGAATGTTGCTTCTTGGGGCCCTGTTGGGAGTGCTCTTGGAGGCCTCTTGGGGCGTCTGGGGGCCATCTTGGGCGTCTTGGAGCGATCATGTGGCATCTCGGAACCCTTGTGTACCATCTTGGGTGCCTCTTGGGGGCATCTGGACCCGTCTTGAGGGTTTCGGGGACGTCTCGGAGCCCTGTTGGTGCGCTCCTGGAGCGCTCCTGGAGCGCTCTGGGGGAGTCTCCCGGGGATCGCTCGGGGGTCGGTCGGGGATCGCCCGGGGTACTTTTCGTCCGGGGATCCCCAGGGGCCGCCCCGCGCGCGCGAACTAGAGATACTGTTAACCAGTTACCGCAGACCTTAGCACGCCTCTGGCCCGTTGGGCCGGCGAATTTCGATTGCCGATCCGACTTATCCATTCGATTCTGGGCTCGACTGGCCTCGCCTCTGCCGCCCAGAAGCGCCCAAACAAAAAGCGATGTGGTGATCGAGAAGCCGCCGATTCTTCGTCAGAGGAGGACACGGAGCCCATACTGCTATTTCTCCCGCGTTTCCCCCCTTCTGGGCCTCCCTCGTCGCCACCGCTAGATTGGCCTCGAAGTCCTGGTCAGACAGAACGCACCCCGGGAGAGGTCGGGGGAGTAGCCGTAGAGGTGCTTGTTGATTCCCCCAGTACGAAGGTGAACGCTCCACGCGGTGTTATAACAAAGCGCCAGTGTCCTCACGGCCCGACTCACGGCACGAAGCTGCCCTGCGGGTGCCTCCTCTAAGAACCGACGTCGCCGAGAAATCGTAACATCGCCACAGGGCACGACCAGTGCCCCAGACCCCATGTTCCTGCGCCATCTTCGAGCATGATCGATCCGTGAGGGTCCCAGGGTCCGAAACCGGGCGAACACGCCCCGTATGACAACCTTGCAACGCCCAGATCTCAGGCCAGAAACGCGCACGACGTTTTGATTGCTTCAATACGCAATCATTATAAATCCCGACCCTTTCCACAGGGCCGGCTTGTCATTCTGCATCGTTGTTTGACGGTCCGGGGGCCTGGCGAGAGCCCCCAGAGGCCGACAATTATCCAACACTGTCTGCTGTCGTGATGCTTTACGACGCGATCATGTCGCAGGAGGAAGGCACCCGTGGGCCCTGTGGGCCCTGGCGCCTTCCTTCCTGGCCCCTGCTGGGCCCACCGGCCAGCCGAGCCGCCCCCGCGGGGGGGGGGGGGGCAGCGACCGCGCCGCCGGCGGCGCGCGGGGGACGTCGCCGAGCACTTCAGGGGCCTGCCGCCAGGCGGCTCGGGTATGGTAAGTTCCTCGGAGGCGACGGTTGGGGCGGGCATTTCTCGTATTTGTTGGCAGCCTCGCCGAAGGCATGGACCATCAGCGCTCCTGGATTCATGTTTTGCTCTCTCTGGGCTATTCGCCCCCATCGTCGCCCCCGAGCTTCATAGGAGACGAGGTACCCATGCCGTTACCCCTCCCTCGTTTTTCCCTTTTTGGGCCTCCTGGGAGGCCCTCCTTGCCACCGCTGGTCAGAGCGCACCTTTGCAGAGGTCTGGGGAGTCGCGGTATCGGTACTGTCTGGTTTCCCCAAAGGTACGCTTCAAGATGCGTCAGGTAGCGCCAGCTGGCCAAAACAGGCCCCCCGAGCAGACCAGAGCGGTCTCAACATCCTGGCACCGCCTCCCGCGGCGCCCCAGGGTTGGGGTGTTGAGACCGCCCGGTCTATTCGGGGAGCCTGTTGCGGCAAGCCGCGACTACTGGGTGGGGTTGCTTGTGCGAAACACGAAGCTTTGCCATGCGGCATATCAATTCTTCACGCTTTGCGTAAACCCACCAGTGTTTTGGTGTGCGACTTTGGTGGCGCCACCCAGTGCACCAGTTTGGACCGTGTCGGGCACCCATGGCAGTCTCCCTGGTGCACCGGCTGGTAACCTTCCTGGCCACACCCTGGCAGAGCGCCGCGCCATTTTGGCTGCGTCCCAACTGTGGTTGGCTAATTCGCTGCAGCTCTATTCACACACCTGGTGACCCTGCTCCCTGGTTGTCGCACGCTTGCAGCTCCGTGGCAGCCCCGGCAGCTTGCAACCCCCGCCCCAGGCACCTCTTGCTGCCCCCGCGCTGAGGCTTCCCCCGGCTGTAGGTCCTGCTCAGTTCCGCGCCAGGTAATTCGGCCCCCGCGCGGCCCGCTTGGACCTTACTCGCCGCTGGCGCTTTCGCTTGCGGCTGCTAACTCAAAGTCGCCCCACCAGCCGCCATTTTGGCTGCGCATACTTGCTGGTCGCCACCGGGGTCTCCACGCCACCGGGTTGGGAATTTCGTTTCTGGCTCTTTTTCAGAGTGGCTGCCCGCGCGTTCGCTTCGCTTGCCTCTCTTTTCTTGCTGCCTAGTCGAGGCCCGACTAATTCGTGTTCGGACGGCTTTCGATCTGCTTCGCGAGCACGCAGACCAAAAGGATCCCAACCAGCCTCCGTAGCCTTCTGGTTCAAGCCGTCTCGGCTCGAGCGCGCCCGTGGTCCAGGTACACGCCGAGCTTGGTTCCCGTTGCGATGGTTCCCGGCCCTGGCGGCCTGACAAGCGCCGCCCACGCGGCGGCGCCAGCGCCTGGCCGCCGCCGCCCGCGACGGGCCGGCCGGCCTGGGCCCGCCCGTTGCTGTTGTTGTTGCTGCTGCTGCCGCCGCCGCCTCCCCCCCAAAGGCCGGCGCGTGGGAGGCGGCGGCCGGCGGCGGCGGCTTGGTCGCCCCGGCCGCGGCTGCCCCAGCTGCTGATGCTCCTGCCGCTGCCGCCTCCCCCGCGCACGTGCGGCGGTGGGCGGCGGCGGCGCTCTGGGCGCCCTTGCTGCTGTTGACGGCGCTGCCATGTCCGCCTCCCCCACCTAGAGGCCGGAACCGAGCGGCGGCGGCTGGCGGCGGTGCCGCGGCTGCCCCGCCTCCGACCGCCCCTGCTGCTGCTGGCGCTACCGCCGCCGCCGGCGCCCTGCTTGCGGCGGCGGCCTGCAACGGCTGCCGGCTGCAGCGCGCTCGCCGCCGCGGCCGTCTCCCGGGGGCCCCCATCTGAGGCGGCCCGTTGCAGGCCTCGCGGCCGCCTTCGCTGCCACTGCGCTGACTGGCGCAGCTCCGCTGGCTGCAGCCTCAGCCGCTGCCGCGGCCGCCGCCGCTGCTGCTGCCGCCCCACCGCCGTCGGCGGCGGCGGCGGCTGAGGGCGCGCGGTTCGGCATCGCGGCTGCGCCTTACCGCGCCCCCCACGCGGGCGCACGGGCAGTCCGACTGCGGTTCAGCGGGCGAGCCTGGCAACGACCTCCCGTAATTCTAATGAGACTGCCAGGCGCCGATTTGGAGATGATTCACAGAGAGCGTTTCCGACGATCAGTCGCCCACCTGGAGATGATGCCCCCCTTCCCTCCTCCTTTATTTTTTATTTCACAGAGTATATTTGCGACGATCAGTCGCCTGCCTGGCGACGACTCACGCAGGACACTTGCGATCAGTCGCCCACCTGGAGATGCCCCCCCCCGTCCGCCCCATCCGTCTTTCAGAGGACTCTTGCGACGATCCGTCGTCGCGAACCTGGAGACGACGCCCCCCCGTTCCTTCCTCCCCACACATTGCGCGGGGGACTTTCGCGACGACAAGTTGCCTATCTGGAGACGACGGCCCCCCTGCGGAGGAGGTGGGGGAGGGCGGCGCCGCGCAGCCGTTGTCCCGGAGCGAGCACGGCCCCTCTGCGCCGTCAGCCGTCACCGGTTGTCTTGCCACGACCGCGGCCCGCCCTCCCGCCGACGACGCCGACGCCGACGACGCCGGCGACGCCGACGCCGACGCCGACGCCGACGACGACGACGGCGACGGCGCCGACGCCGACGCCGACGACGCCGTCGCCGACGCCGACGACCTCGGGACAGAGCAGGCGTTGGAGCAGAAGCCAGGGGCGCCAGACGAGCAGGGGCAGGCGACCGCCCACCCGCGCACTTCCTCGACTGACCCTCCAGCCCGCGGCAGCGACGCGCGGACGGATGCGCTCCATCCAGACGACCCCCTCCCATGCGGGGAGCCCCAGCGCTGGGGGGCGATGGCGCTGCGGCCAGCGCGCGCCGCTGGCGCGTATGCCTGGAAGCGGCTGGACACCGGGCCGGGCCCGAGAATTGGCGATCTTCCAGCCCCATCGCCGCCCGCGGGGCGGAACATGGCGCCCGCCGGCGTCGATGGCCCGGCGGGGTTTGACAGGCGGCGGGCGACCGACGACGCCGACGACGGCGCCGACGCCGCCGCCGCCGACGACGCCGAGGGCGACGACGCCGACGCCGACGACGCCGTCGCCGACGCCGACGACCTGGGGACAGAACAGGCGTTGGAGCAGAAGCCGGAGGCGCCGCGCGAGCGGGAGTAGGCGACCACCCGCTTGCGCACTTCTTTAACAGACCCTCCTGGCCCGCGGCAGCGACGTGCCCGCGGACGCGCTTCATCCCGACGCCGCCCTCGACTTCGAGAGTGCGAGTCCCAGCGCCGAGGAGCGACGGTTCCGCGGCTAGCGTGCGCCGCTGGCGCTTCCGCCTGGAAGCGGCGGGGCGCGGGGCCTGGCCCCGAGGACCGGCGGTTCTCCAGCCCCGTCGCCGTCCGCGGGGCGGAACATGGTGCCCGGCAGCGCCGACGGATCTGGCGGGGTCTGACAGGCGGGAGACGGCTGGCGGCGAGCATGGCGGCGGCAGTAGCAGCAGCGACGAGCCGGGCGCATTCGGCAAAGCCCCGCCACCCGTGCTGACTGACGCCATCGACGACGCCGATGCCGACTTCGACGCCGACGACGACGCCGACGACGCCGACGCCGACGCAAACGACCTGGGGACAGAACAGGCGGTGGAACTGACGCGGGGTGGGGGCGAGCAGGAGCAGGCGACCACCCGCCCGCGCGCTGCCTCGACTGGCCCTCCAGCCCGCAGCGGCGACGCGCGGGCGGGCGCGCTCCATCCTGGCGCCGCCCTCCCCTGCAACAGTGCGCGCCCCAGCGCAATAGAGCGACGGCGCCGCGGCCAGCGCGCGCCGCTGGCGCGTCTGCCTGGAAGCAGCTGGACACGGGGCCTGGCCCCGAGAACCGGCGATCCCCCAGCCCCTGTGCCGCCCGCGGGGCGGAACATGGCGCCCGGCAGCGTCGACGGCCTGGCGGGGCGGGGCGACGGAGGCCGGGCGGCGAGCCGGGCGGCAGCAGCAGCAGCAGCAGCAGCAGCGCCGCGTGGAACCCGCGAGCCGCCGCGCCTGACGGGGGCTGGCGGCGCGCCGCCCGCCGGCGGCCTGGCCCACTGGGCCCCGGCGCGGGAAAGCAGCAAATTACAAAGTCAGGCGCGCAGCGGGGCGTTTACGGGGGGGGCCCTGGAGAAAAATACCAGGCGACGCCAAGTCGCCCTGGAGCGATGTTTACAGGCGCCTGGCGCGCGTTCGTCCAAAAGCACGCCGCGCCTGGCTCTGGAGCAGCGCTCGACCCGCTGCGGCGCGACAAGCAAACGGTCGTCGGCCTCTTGGGCCCCTTCCGCCACCGCAAAAGTGGGCTCGCGGTCCATGGGCGACGCGCTGCGCCTCTGGGCCGGTGGGAAACAGCCGCGCGCGGGCGCGGATGGCGATGCCCCGCCGCGGAGACAGGCGCCCTTGGTCCAGGCTGGCAACCGCGCTCCAGGATGGACACGAAACCTGGGGAAGGAGCGTTTCTGGGCCTAGCATCGCTGCCGGGGGGCCTTGCAGGGTCAGTTCCTGGCCCCGCTGGCGCCGCCCCGCCGTCGCAGCAGAACCCCCGCGGCGGAGCCGTCGTTCCTGGACTTGTTTCACAGCTTGCAGCCGCCCCGCGGGCAGCCCATAGCGAGCTGCCCCTGGTCGCGCCGCATGGCTCCTTGGCGACGAGAGGTGGCCCCTCTCCCTGTTCAGCATTTGCAGTCAGTCTGCCTGTGCCTGCCCCCGCCTGGGGGGCCGCTGACCTGCCCGCTGGTGGGAACGGAGAGGCCGCGGCCCGGCCGACCCCGCATCCTCGTCGCGCAGCACCTCTCCACCGCGTTGTCGGCCGACTACGCGTTCTACTGCCTGGGGACCTGGAGGCCGCCAGTCTCCTCGGCGTTTGCTTGGCGCGACTTCCTCGCGTTTCCCGCGCCGGTTTGTCGGCGTCGTTCGCGCTGCTCCTACGGGGTTGCTTGCGCGTTTCTCTATGTCTGTCTGGCCGGAAGGGTTCATGGATTTCGACGTCGACATGCGTGCCATTGCTTACCTGAGGAAGAACTGAAGCTCGCGGCGGCCAGCTCCTTCAGGGTCTCCGTCTTCGGCAAGTGCGTCCTGGGGGGCCCGTGTTACTGACTTCTCATGTGCGTGGTCGGTCTTCCACCCCGTACCTGCGTCCAATTTGGCACCTCAGTGGGCGCGCCCTGCGTTTCCTGGACCCGCCGTTTTGGTTGACGTGGCTCTGACGTGACGTCGGTGCTGATTCGCGATGCCTCGCTCCATTTTGGCTGCGCTTAGCCCAGCTTTCGGCTGCGTTGAGCCCACTGTTTTTGGTTTGGTTGGGGGGCGTCCCTTGTTTCGGCGCGCGGCCCGCCCTAGCTCTGCTCGGTGCTCGACTTGTTTCGCGAGCCCGCGAAGCAGAACTAACCCCACCAGCCCATCCAGCAACGATGCCCATGCGAGTAGCGTTGATGAGGGAAGTGGGGGAGCAATTAAAACCACTGTCTCACCGTGGGACTAAAACAGGGGTAGGCCTTACCCTGGGGGGATTTCCAGGTGCCTCTTGCGAATTAGAACAACCCGCACCCCGAGCTCAAGGAAAAGGTGGAGCGCCAGAAGGAGGAACACGAGCCTCCTTGGCAGCTCCATTTTCACGGCGACTGCTGTGCGAGGGATCACCGACGCTGGCCAGAAAGGCCTCCCGCCCGCCCATTTTCTCAGCCAGGGCAGCCACAACATTTTTACGACGTCCCAGAGGAGCAGCGGTGGCGGCAGTCCCCGTAACAGCATTGCCCTCGCCCGTCTCGCCGTGCATTGCGCCTGTCACCAGCGCCTGCGGGAACTGCACGTCCGTGAATGTTTCGGCGGTCTGATCGTCGCCCGTCTCTTCCTGCACCGCGACGGGAACGTCAGATACAGCACCCACCGCCGACTCCACAAGTCGTGCATTTGGGTAGCCACGCGCCACAGCCGCTCCAGCGTACCGCAACGGTTCAGGATGAGCTAGAGGCCGCCCAGCCTCCTTGAAATCCACGTCCACGTTCTCGCAATTCTCTGCAACGGCAGCAGCACTGAAGGGCTCCATCTCCGAAGGAAACACCATCGGCGGGCCCGCGACGACCTCCGCCTCCGAGCCGCCTACAGTGCCGAACCCGAGGGGTTCCGCCAAGACCTGCACGGCCTGGCGGTCCCACACACACGGCGGCCGCATCGGCCAGAAGGGGGCTGCATCACGACGGAGCCCTCCAGGAGCAGGGGCGCCAGCCGCCGCCCGCTGGCGCGCGCACTTGAGGCCGAGCCGCGGCCCCTTCTGCGCGCCCCGCAGCGTGGACGCACCCGCTGAGGCGATGTCGGGTACGCCATCCGCCTCGGCATGGAGCGCGACGTTGTGCCGCAGGGTCATCAGCCAGTCGGGCGCCTCACCGCGGCATAGCGCCCGCAGCGCAGGGAGGAGCGCACGTACACGCCCAGCAACTGCGACGTCGTCGAACATCAGCGTCACCGCCTCCTCCGCCTGCATGAGGAGCTGCCGCTCGGCTGCGACCTCGGAGGTCAGCCTCGCGACCGCAACCTCCGCTGAGAGCGCCGCCTGCCGTTGAGCCTCCCGCCGAGCCGCACTGCTCCGACGAGAGGAAACACCGGCCGCGCCTTCCCCGCAGGGACGGCGGCCGCCCGCACCATCCATGCCTGCGCCCCCGCCAGTCGAGCCAACGGCTATGGGGCCTGGCGCCAGGCATGAGCCAAAATGGCTACGGAGGTGGAGGAGGAGGCGGAGGAGGAGGTGGAGGAGGAAGAAGGGGAGGAGGAGGAGAAGGAAGTGGGAGAGGAGGAGGAGGAGGAGGAGGAGGAGGAGGAGGAGGAGGAGGAGGAGGAGGAGCAGCAGCAGGAGGAGCAGGAGAGCAGGAGGAGCAGGAGGAGCACGAGGCGCGAAGGGAGCAGGAGGAGCAGGAGGAGCAGGGAGGAGGCGGAGAGGAGGAGGAGGAGGAGGAGGAGGAGGAGGAGGGAGGAGGAGCAGGAGGAGGAGCAGGAGGAGGAGGAGGAGGAGGAGGAGGAGGAGGAGGAGGGAGGAGGAGGAGGAGGGAGGAACGGGAGGAGGAGGGGGAGGGGGAGGGG